ACAGAGTGAGACTCCAAAAAAAAAAAAAAAAAAAAGAAGAGCTTGGATGGGTCAGTATTTTACATGCCTGCCAGAGCCTCAAACCCACCTGGATGGCTTATTAAACTCTGAATTCATTTCTCCTAAGACCCATTCAGTGGGTCTGAGGTAGAAATTGGGATTCAGTAAATTTTAACAAACACCAATATGTGAACTGGCTTTTGGGTGCCTATTAAGGTCACAAGACTCTGGCTGGGGCCTTGCCTGAGGCCAGGTAGGTTAGCCACCAGGAACCTCAGACCACACCCAGCCCTGTGCTCCACCAGCAAAGGCCACCCCTAGAACCCGCAGCTGGACAAGTGCCTCCCAGTCAAAAACGCTGTTGTCGGTCCATGGGAGAGGCAAACACACTAAGTTTAATATCACACAACACACTCTAAGAAATCCCGGCAGAGCGTTTCAGCACGTTTTATAGGGCATCTGCGTGGGCAGAGTACTCCACTAAACCTTGCAGGGAAATAAGTGAAGAAACAACCAAAGTCAAGTCTGACTTAGCCTCTAAAAGGATTATGACCTTGAAGGAGGCCCATGTCACATGACCATGGATGCATTGGAGAGAGAATGAATGTGGTGCCCGGGGGTATAGGGAGTAGGGAGGGGCCATCGCCATGGCCATCAGACCACCTTAGAGTCTATGGACAGGAGGGCTGCCACCTGGAGGAATCGCTGGTTCTGGCATAGTCTCCTAGACCTGCCCTGGGGAGCCCACACAGTAGGACTGGGGCTGGGACTAGGAAGAGCATTTTTATTTTTTGATTTTATAAAAGTAACTCGTTGTTTAAATCTAAAAGTAACGTACGCCCAAGGCCAGGCGGAGTGGCTCACAGCTGTAATCCCAGCACTTTGGGGAGGCTAAGACGGGAGGACTGTTTGAGCCTAGAAGTTCAAGACCAACCTGGGAAACATAGCAAGATTTTGTCTCTACAAAAAATTAAATAATTAACTGAGTGCAGTGGTGTATGCTGTAGTTGCAGTTACTCAGGAGGCTGAGGTGGGATCACTTGAGCCGAGGAGGTCACGGCTGTGGTGAGCAGTGATCATGCATGCCTAGGTCGTAGATTAAAAAAAAAAAAAACTCCCAGGTGTAAGGAGAAAAATAACATTAAATTAAAAAATAAAACATTAAATTTCCCTCTTCCACCCATGCACCTCTCTTTCCTCATTCTAACTCCCAACCGTCTCTTGCTAATTATTCACATTTTCTGCAGATTAAGCATGCACACAACATTTAAAATAGACACTGGGTCTATGTTGTCCAGATTGGTCTTGAATTCTTGGCCTCAAGGAATACTCCTACCTCAGTCTCCCAAAGTGCTGGGACTACAGGCATGAGTCACCATGCCTGGTGAATTTTTTAAGATCAACACCAGCCGGGTGCACTGACTCACGCCCTTAATCCCAGCACTTTGGGAGGCCAAGGTGAGAGGATTGCCTGAGTCCAGGGGTTTTAGATCAGCCTGGGCAACTTAGTGAGATCTCATCTCTACAATACATAAAAAAATTAGCTGGGCATAGTAGTGCATGCCTGTGGTTCCAGCTACTTGGAAGGCTGAAGCGGAAGGATCACCTGAGCCTAGCAGATCAAGGCTGCGGTGGCCATGAGCATGCCACTGCACTCCAGCCTGGGCGACAGAGTGAGACGCCCAACTCAAAAAAAAAAAAAAAAAAAATCAACACTATATTTAATTGCTCTGAGCAAGAGAATTTTATTTATTTATTTACTTACTTACTGAGTTGGAGTCTCACTCTATCACCCAGGCTGGAGTGTAGTGGCATGCTTATGGCCACCACAGCCTCAACCTGCTGGGCTCAGGTGATCCTTCTGTCTCAATCTTCCAAGTAGCTGGGATCACAGGCATATGCCACTGCACCTGGCTAATTTCTTGATTTATTGTAGAAATGAGGTCCTGCCAAGTTGCCCAGGCTGGTCTCGGACCCATGGGCTCAGGCAATCCTTTCACCTCGGCCTCCCAAAAGTGCTGGGATTATAGGTGTGAACCACCGTGTCCAGCCTTGAGCAGGAGAATTTTAAAAAGCCTCCCCAGGAAACTGTCTCACAGCCAAGTGTGAAAATGAGCATTCTGAAGTGGGCATGGATGCTGGCGCAGCACAGATGTTTTCCTGAAACACCAACACGAAGCTTTGGAGAGGGGGCCTGGAGCTGGGACAGCTCATGCCTGCCGCTGCATCCCTCTCTGCACTTCCTGTCATCTTCAGCAGCTGCAGGTACTACTGCTACTAACATACTAACAGCGGTCCTGTGGGTCGGGCAATGACGAACCTCCCACCTTTTCCTTAAAACCAGTTTAGGGAAGCCGGGCTCGGTGGCTCAGCCTGTAATCCCACACTTTTGGGAGGCTGAGGTGAGTGGATTGCCTGAGCCCGCAAGTTCAAGACCCGCCTGGGCAG